GCCCAGGGGTGGCCAAATGCGTGAGGGCAGTTGGCGAAGCGTTTATGGTGTCTGTGTGGGTGTCTGTGCGCAGGGCAGGGGGGGGGAGCGGTTGCGCACCTGTCCCTGGCTGTTCCAGACGTCCCACAGGCTGGGGCCCAGCATGTCCATGACCTGCGGAGCGTCGGGACGGTTGTTGGCTGCGGCCAAAGGCGGCCACGGCAGGCGCGGCGGCGCCGCGGCGGCCCGGGAGGGCCCTGGGACTGGGCATGCGCCGCGCCCCGCGGAGCCCTCTGCGCGTGCCCGCGCCAGGAGCGCTCGACGCCCACGACTCCGTCCTATGGGGCGCCGCTACCACCACCACCGCCACCACCATGCAGGCCTGGCAGTCCTTCGAGCCACTGATGATGCCGCGGCCGCCACCTCACAACTATAGACGGGTGACCCACCATAACGTAGTAGTCACCCTGCCGCCCCTTGTAATGCACCTTGGGGATACCGTGCACGCCCCCCAAGGATCTAAGCGGCCGGTGGGCGCAAGGAAGGGGCGCCGGAGGGGTGGGCGGGTGCTATAAACAAAATGTTGAAGTTGGTTGGTGCCCAGGAGGGTCGAGTGGAGCAAGGGAGCGCGCGGGCAAGCTTGAAGGGGTAAGTGGGTCCCAAGCGCGACCCACTGTCGGGCAGCAGCTGCTTCTCTGCACCTCAATGCTACGCTCTGGCCCCGCCGCTTGACCCCCCACCCCCACCCACCCACGAGGCCTCGACTTATCCATTCGCACACAGCACACTCACTGGTACACACTCCACTCGTACGGGGGGCCATAGTTGCAGCCTTTGCTGGTTCTGTGCTCAAACTTGAGCGCCATCTGGGGGGAGCAAGGTGCATGGAGGTGACGCGGAGGGGCGTGTACATGAGCAAACATTATTTCAAAGTTGGGCCAAGTGGTTTCTCATACAAGAAAATTTACCAGTGGGACAAGGCACTCCAGGACTCAAGTGCATGCTGCAGCACATGCCTTGTCTACTGCCGCTGCAGCCGCCTTTCCTCATGGCCCTGCTCGCCTGCAACGTGCGCAGAGCACGGCGGCCGCCGCTGCATCCCCAACCCCCTGAGAGGCCCTCTAGCTTCCACCGCTCACCAGGTTGGCGTTTGGGCCGTCCTTTGACTTGGTCGGCTGCACGCGGCGCCCCACAAACACCTGGCCGAAGCCACCCTTACCCAGCTTGCGATCCAGTTGGTACTCTGGGCCGCCGCCCACGCATACCTGACGGGAGGCGGAGGCGGGGCTGTTGAGGCCAACAAAAGCACCGCCCGGGCCCGAGGGCTTTGCTACGTTTGGCCGGGCCATGCCCCAGGCCTGAAGCACAGCTGCAGCAGCCATAAGTCCATGTGTGTGCCCTCAGGTCATGCATTCCAGCACGTACGTGCCATGCGCCGCGTCTGCCATGCGCCGCAACCGCTGCCGAAGCCTCAGCTGGCCCGCCGCAAAAGCAGCGCCATGCGCGCACCCGTTCTGGCAGGGGGGCTGTGCTGGCCTCGTCATCCTTCTTCTCGTGGTCCTTGTTCTCCTCGGGCATCCTGCCCGGCGCCTGATTAGAAGGGGGCCTGCGGGACGGTGCGGCGTGCGCGCGACGTCGGTGCGTCGCGCATGCGCTGCTGTTCCAGCGGGTGCGGCGCAGCGCGTCGAGGGTGCCGTGTACTCCACTGGGCAGTGCACGCTGGCATCCAGGGTTCTAAGTCACCCATATAAACATAAAGCTGCGTCCAAGGGCGGGAGGCTGCTCAGGGGTGCCGACCTGCTAGGGGACCTGTCCCTCAGGCCCGGCGCAGGCCTGCTCGCTGCGGGCTAGTTCAAAGCTTCTTAACTAAAAGACTTTGGAGAGGCTGGTGACCTTATGGCAGGCCCCCGGCGCAGACACACGGCAAACGAGAGAGGCGCAACACGATCTGAGCGAGGTTGGCCCAAGCTATATGCTCAAAAACAGCTAACAGAGTACAGCTCTGCGTGATGGATGGAAAGTTGTCCCTCGCCTCGTGGCAGGAAGCGCGCGGGCGCAAATGCAAACACGGGCAGCGGGAACAAGAGAATGGGCGCAAACACTAGAAAGGTGGTCGATAGCCAGAGATACTCTCACATCAGCCTTGATCGGTGCCCCACCTCGATCCCGCGTCCGCTGCCGCGCACGCTCTGCTTCGCTCGTGCCGGCTCGGTCAGCACACCGCGTCTGGGGCAGCACGGGAGGGGCGTGCAGCACTCCTGTGCGCGCGATGCTTGGTTCCAAACCGCTTGCCGAGATGAATTCGGCGACTGATAGAATGGACAAGCAGTTGCATGTTCTGCCCATGCCGGTCAAATCAATGTGTCCAGTTGCCCGCCCAGTCTGGCCTCGGCACGCGGTCACTTCAATCAGCATCACTAGCATAGCTGTAAGTATGCGGGTCCGGCAGTCTTTGCCAGTGCAAGGCATGCACGGTGGACGTTTGACCGTGTTCGCATCTTGGTAGGCCCTCAACATGTGCGCCCGCAGGCTCAATGCGCTGGGTGCTGGTCCAGCGCAGCGCCGCACAAAAGAAAGCTTCACAAGCCATCACGCCCTTTTCGTTGCGATACGGGCACATGTGGGACGTGCTGTGACAAGCAGATATGCGGCGCTTGACCATGACAGGGTTGCACAGGCCCGGAACCTCGTGTGCACGTGTTTGGCCAGGGGCTACTTTACATGCTCGCGCCCTGCAGGACTAGAGCCGGCCCAAGTTGGGCCCCCTGACCCTGCTCTCCCGAGCGTGTACAACGACAAAGTGCCCCTGGACGTCGGCGCTGCGCTAGCAACGCGGCTCCTCGTCTTTTAGTACGAAAGAGCCTGTGGCGAGCGCAGGCCTGCACGGCTGGATAGATTGCGATTCAAGCCGTCCCGCATGTGGCCACCAGCTCCTTTGATTTGCGTACTCACTGCTGTCCGCAGGCAAGCACAGAAGCACCACCGTTCAACATTGGCCAGGTTCAGCGGCAGCTCTGCTCAGGGCGCACCTCAAGTCTCTGCGCGGACGCTCAAAAAAGTAGAGCGCTCCGGCCTGGGACGCCACCTTGCGCCCAGATGCCGGCGGCCAGCCTTGGAGTACTGCGCCACCCGCCACTGCTTGCTTGAGCGTATTCTGCTGACCATTTAGCGCCTACTCAAGCAAACAACTCGTGGTGGGGCGCAAGGGCATGCGCGGCTGCCGACTACTAAGGCGCCTGAATCTGCGGCGCGAGATACAATGAGGCGCCGGCAAGACGCATCGCACTGGAGCAACCGCGCTGCACGGGATACAGTTGTGTACTTCAGCGCTGATTACCTTTCAAAGTGCAGTGTTACATGCGAAAGACTCAATCACACGCGCTCGTCGTGCACCCTTCTACATCAGACCCGAGCTTCGCGACCAAGACAGGACAGCGTCGAGCGGCCAGCGACGTCCACAAGAGAGGGAACACGTAGCTTTACTTGCAGGTCCAGCGGGGCTGCGAGGCGCGCGGGGAGGCCTCAGTGCCTTTCTCACACGGCCAGGTGCGTGTGCCCTCCCGCTCTGTGCGTGGTTTTCAGGTCAAAAAGCTTTCATCGAGGTTGCATGACGCACTTGGCGTGCCGGCAGTGCCGCTGTTGGCTCATTTCGCGTAGCAGCAGCGGGCGGGCCCAAGCGTGATGTGATATTGCACATCATTCATTTGTCTTCTCTCGAGCGGGTCACGCTGAGTGGCGGTGCCCTTATGCAGAAGCGAGGCCGAACAGCGGCCGGAAGCCCTTCCCAGCAAGGGTGGCCTGCCCGCGGGTTGATCAAATTTCGGTTTTATAGGCTTATCCGTTGCTTTTTTGCGCCCTTCGTCGTTGGTGGCCCCTCCGTGGGATTGTTTGGGGATGGTTTGGTTGGGGCGGCCTTTTTTCGGGGCCAGCCTGCTGGTCATTTTGCGGGGCACGTCATGTGTGGGGATCTTGTCTCAGCGGCCATGGCAGATGCGCCTTCCGTTGGCGGTCAGTGCAGCTGCGGTGTGGCGCACCCCTGCTGATCGTGCATGGGGCATTGTGCCCCGTTGATGCACAAACTGCGCGGCCCGAGGCGGTGGCAGTGCTGTTGGCTGACCCGCCTGCATGCTGCGCCATTGCCTTGCTCCCTTTTTTGCGCAGGTCGAGCGACAGCCTACCGGGCGATTGGCGCGCGCACACGCGTGCGCGCCCCCGCACGCGCGCAAACACGGCGACCGCACTGCTGTCGCAGCCGGGGTGGCGCGACCTGGCGCCCGCGTCGCCCCCCCTAACGGATGCCGCCGCACCGTCCGCCCCAAGCGGCGGCGCGCTGAGCAGCAGCCCCGGCAGCGAGGCGGCGGCGGCCGGCGGGATGAGGCGGCTGTCGGACCAGCTGCTAGGGTCGGGCGGCCACATCAGCCCGGCAAACAGCGGCAGCCCCACCGCCGGCCTGGGCCCTGAGGTCGACGATCTCCTCGCAGCGGCCGCGGCCGTCGCAAAGCAGCAGCAGCAGGCCGCCGCCGCCGCCGCCGCCGCCGCGGGCCTGTGCGCGCCCGACACCGACGGCTGCTGCCCCACGCTGCCCGGCGGCGCGGCGGGGCTGGCGGGCGGCGCGGCGCTGGGCGCCGCCATCGGCGCGCTCGGCGGCGGCATGGGCGCGGGCCACCTCGACGAGGCCCCCCGCAAGCTGGCCGTGCTGGGCCTGCCTTGGGAGACAAAGTGAGCGCCCCCCCCC